AAAAGCTGAATCTAGGCTTGAATTGTGATTCTATCATATATGTGCTGGGTGAATCTGCCCAGATCCTTCACCTTTTCTCAAAGTCCTTATTTCAGTGTTGTGCAAAGTCTCAGGTGATATAATAAGTCATGTAGCAATTACATCTACCACAATTATGGTTAAAAATGGGCTTAAAATATGTGATAAGGACCTGCCTTGGATCATCCATTCCTCCAGGCCTTTTAATCTTTATATTTGAGACCATTTGACTCCCTCACTACAGCTTAACCTCAGTCCCTAGATTCATCCTGTCCTTCATCAGAATTAATCGTTAAGTTTTCACGAATTCAGCATCGAGTTCTAACAATTGGCTTTAATCCCTGTTCGAAAACTAAGACTCTACCGTATCCCTAGTTCTAACTTCTGCCTTCTCCTGACCTAAGACTCTACTGTATCCCTAGTTCTAACTTCTGCCTTCTTCTCCTGTGCCCTTCCTAGTCCTAAAAGCTTGCTGTGTGCCATATGATTGGCATATGTTATCATATTTACACCCCACAACAGTATGAGGCAGGTATACGATGCCACCTATTGTGCAGATGAAAAAACTCAATGCAGAGAGGTTAAATTGTTATTTAATAGTGTCAAAGGTAGAAGACAAACCCAGGTCAGCTGCCTGCAAGGCCATTATTTTTTCCTCTGTAACAAGCAGTTTTCAAGCTGTGTTCCCAAAATTCCTAAGAGACTCAAGGGCTGCCAGGGGAGACTGAAGAGATAGAAAGAGTGGCTCATCTAACTTACAGGGTATCTGGAACATACTGATTGCTACATACATTTTTTTTTCTTTCCCCTTCACCTATTTCACCTGTCCGTCCATCTCCCTCCCTTCTGGCAACCACCAGTTTGTTCTCCTCTGTATTTGAGTCTGTTTCTGTTTTTTTTTTTGTTTTTTTTTTAGATTCCACATATAAGTGAAATCATACAGTATTTGTCTTTCTCTGTCTCTTATTTCACTTAGCATAATACTCTCTAGGGCCAACCACGTTGTTGCAAATGACATGATTTCATTCTTTTTTATAAACTGAGTAATATTCTACTGCATTTAGGTACCACATCTTCATTATCCATTCATCTAATGATGGACACTTAGGTTGCTTCCACATCTTGGCTATTGTAAATAAGGTTGCAATTAACATAGGGGCACATGTATCTTTTTGAATTAGTGATTTCATTTTCTTTGGGTAAATTACCCAAGAGTGTAATTGCTTGACTGTATGGCATTTCTATTTTTAATTTTTTTGAGTAACCTCTATACTATTTTCTATAGCGGCTACACCAATTTACATTCCCATCAGCAGTGCATAAGGGTTCTTGCTACATGCTCGTTGGATGCCATGAAATTCTTCTTTGCCTGCCTGCTTGCCTGGGCTTCTGTCTCACATAACTTAAGAAATCAATTTGAACTCAGTCACCCACAACCCAGGACAGCCTCCTCTTTAGGAGATACTTTTTCTCCATCTGTTTCCGTTTACCTTTCACTCCCAGGTCTGCCATAAATGACAGTAAGTAGTTATAAAAGTCATTTTAGAAATGGCCACCATTATGTGTAACATTATTAACTCTCCCACAGTACGGAAGATTAATATGGCTCACATTATTTAAAATAGTGGATAACCCTTGAGAATTTTAGGAACATACTTATGCTTTGAAATTCATTATTCGTAACTATGAAATGGCATATTCTTGAATAATTTGCAATATTTTAAGCCAAGTGAAGTTTTACTAAAAAGCTGCAAAACTATCAAGCTAAGTTTTCTCTCTTGCTCAATTTTATGTATCTGCCACATGATGTTACTTCTCAGAGGGGATCATATAACAAACACAAATGTGATAATATAATCATGGCTGAAAGCAAAGCATCTTTAATGGTAAAATTAATTATTTTTTATTCCTTTCTCTTGACCATATACTCATGTAGCTTATAATGACACCACACAGAACTCTTTGTGAGGAGGGTTACAATAGTCCCGATTATTTTAATTAATGAAAAAAATGTGACTGAGTTATAACCTGAAATACCAACAGTGACCTTCAGTCTGATGTGAAATCTCTTTCTATGACACCAACAACATACAATAACCATCACTACCTTGCAGTACTGCGAGTACTCAGTTCCCATCTGTTTAAGTCAGATAGCTGAACACCATGGATGCACTGTCACTGTACTTCTCAAAGTATGGTCCGCAGTGCACCTCCCTATGAATGTTCTGAGGCACTGTTTGTAACATGTAGATTCATGGGTCCCATGATCAACCTAAAGAATCAAAATTCTCTAAGATCAAAAAATTGGCATTTTTGGACAAACTCATCTGGGTACTGATTTGAAAATCAATGGTATAAATCCACTCAATTTGTCCATACTATTTAAAAGAGAGATGGATTAAAACAAAAATACAAGACCCATTCTCTATTTGCTGATATTTAAAACTGCACACAGGAAGATGCTTCTCAGTATGTGTCTGAAAAAATTTAGGGGGCAAGTATATTGATTCTAACACCATCCTCAAAATCAGCCCCTCAAAATAAAATTTTCACTTTTTAGAAAGAGATTTAGGATGACAGAGTTCTTAACTAAGAGTTAATGATAAACTAACTAGTCTTCATTCAATTTAGTAGTCCACACAGTTTATTCAGCAATATAACAGAAGAGAACCTCCATCATGACAGACATAAGGCAGATACAGAGTAGATCTCTGGGGTACATTCTTTATACAGACTAACAAATAACTTTAGGTTTCACAACATGTGGCAGGCATGATTCATTGCATACGAATAGCTGTTCACTCCTCCAGTCTTCCTTCCTAAAAGAGCCCTGATTTTATTAGGGGAGACAATGTGCCCTACTCAGGCAATGTCAACCCCATTCCCCTTTGCAAGGTTTCCCAGGCTCCCTTGTAAACCAGCACCTTCTCATGAGATGTAAGAAATCTGTGAGGGACTTTTGAGAAAGATTTGCTTCCTAAACAAAAAACAGACTTGAAAAGAGAAAGCTTTTTGCTCCCTACTTCCAGTCTTTCAATTGGGAGTGAAATGTCTGGAGCAGCAAAAAAGCCACACTATACTCACTGAAGTAACAACTATGAGGACAAAAAGCCAACACAAGGATCCCAGAGAGAAGGACAGAAAGAACTGGGACCTTGAGAACACTGCTGAGTTGCTACACAGCACTGGATTATCTAGCATCTTAAGTGGAATTTAAAACTTGAGATGTTTTCAATAGCTTTTTCTAAGTTTCTTAACCTAAACTCTGGTTCTGTCATTCTCATGAATGTCCAACAAGACCTTCTTAATTCTAAGAAAGATGCTTCCCCTAGACTGTTTATAATATATATGGGTCAAGCTTGATAACTCCTTTTGTCACTGATTTCAATAGTACAGGTACTTTTCCATTTTCAGGGGTGGACAATCTAACTTCCGTCACCACAAAGAGATGAGAGTTTTTGCATATGTAGAGCCACGTAAGTGTAGAATGTGACACCACTGCATGTTTTTGTGTATCCTGTGTTGCCCAACAGAATGTGATTTCTGACAGTGATCAGTTATTGATAATATCAAAGCCACACTGAGGATGGGCCAAATAGATCTAATGATGAATAAGCAGTTATGTATGAATACATTTAATATATATGTAATTATCACTGATGTATAAGAGGTAGAATTTAAAACAGTGTAGTTTCTTATTATGATATCTAGTTGTTTTATTAATCTACAATCCAGATACAAGAATGCTATCCCACAAAATTGCCACTAGAAATATCATTTTGTACACATAGTATGGGGCTTCTCCTCCAGGACTACCTTACCATATGTCAGTGATTAGGCTGTGGAGCTTCTTAGGGAGCATAAGCTAATTCCAAAACACAGGGAACATGGATTAGTCTGGTTCTAGATGAACAGTCTGGCTGTAATACTGATTAAATACATGCTGAACAAATTATGCGTAGACTGGTTTAAGCAGATCCAAGAATTTAAAAAGTTCCCCAAAGTAGGGACAGTCTGGATCAGATTTAAAAAGGAGTCGTTTTCCACCTTCCTTGGGCTACTGATACAAAACCCTGCACAATCTCCATGATTTTAACTGTTTAAAAGTTATTTGTTTTGGCCAAGTTTTTTGTTTAAGGTTTTGTCTGTTCTGGTCAAGATTAATTGTAATGCAGGGTTAAAACCAGCTACTCTAGAGTCATGTATCCTTTTTCTAACCAGTGGAGGACCCAGAAGAAATGGGTGGCAAGCTTTCTCAAAGGTCCACCTGGTAAGGTTTTGGGGAGCCCACTCAAGTGGAAAAGACCATGGAAGAACAAGGCTTCTATTAGCAGGATTATCAGGATAGCATTCAGGACAATAATCAGCTCTGTTAATACGGTCTAAGAATACTTGGTAACATTCATTTTCAACAAGTTCAGTTTGGTACAACCAATGGCCTAGTTCTAAACTAGGAAACCACTGTTGTCCACAGTCAGGGCAATGTGAATTATCTGAGAACATCTGGGCTTAAGACAACACAGATAGCAATGTAATAGCAAAAGGCAACAATGACAACGAGAGACACCCAAATAACCAGTCCTCTTACAGGTCTGCTTTAACAATTTCTCAGTCCAAAGAATATTACTTGAAGAGTGCTAAATCTGGCTTGCACCTTGTGCAATTCTTGAAGATTTCGTTGTCTATTTTCATTTAATTGCAACTCAGTCTCTGAACTCAGGGACCAATCCAGTCTATAATGTTATCAGTCGCTTACTAGCAGCACAGATCTCAGAAAAGCTCCTTCAAATCCCAGCTTCTCAATAAACAGACAGAGCTCTAGTCTAAATTATGTTTTCTTGTGTGTTATTAGCTGGTGGTGTCATGCAGAGGCACTTGGCTTACTCTGCTTTGTTGGTAAGTTATTATGTCTGCTTGGTGACACAGAGGAGCTGACAGGTCCAAGGGGTCTTTTGTGGGCGTTGCTGTTGTAATACACGTACCCAAGTCTTAAGGCGTTGGCACTTTAGAGCGATGTGGGGGGGGTCAGGAAAACCTGGTAGAGTCCTCTTGAGCGTGGATCCGATGAAGTCTTGGGAGGACTTTAATCAGGACCCAGTCACACAGAAGCAGCTGATGCTGAGTTGGTTGGAGGGTCTGGGAATGCTTCACATACCTGTAAATGATACAACTTCAGAGGACTCATATGGGCTTTGAGTTGCTCACAAGATTATTAGAAACATGCATCTGGAGATCATTTGCGTCAGTCAAGGTAGATGAGATGTCTCATGGGTTTATCCAAGACAATTTCATATGTGTCCAAACCAATTTATCAGTTCGCAATTATTCTTACAATTATGTGAGCACTAGGGAGGGTTTTGGTTCATTTGAGGTTTGTGCGAGTTTTGGTTTTTTTTTAGGACTATATTTCTTTTTTTTTACTCTTTTTGCATTTCAGGAATAATGAGGTCTGTCAAATCATATTTAACCTGGTAAAACTCTGGGATTTCTTGTATACTCTGCTGTGAAATGGGTGCTATATATAGGATTCCCATAATGTGTGAGATATTAATAATGGTGACAGTCTTTCTATAACAGGGTTCAATTCACTGAGGAAAGAGCTTACACAATTATCAGATAATATGCTTAGTAGCTAACCACAGGAAGTTGGATATAATCCTTCTGAAGGCTAAAAAGAAACCAAGAGGGGCACGTCCCATTGCCCACATCTACCTTTACAGGTTCAGGCACATTCTAAAGGTAAGAAGGGCAAGTAAAGCACCATGCTGAGCAACAGTCCTGAGCAATTCTTGGAAAATATACATAAATCAGTTGGAATTTGCGGATGCTACCAACATTTCTATACTCCTTCATGACACTGTGTATAACACGTACATGATGTAGGGGAGTAGGATGTCTGGAGCAACTCCAGCCACCTGGGGCGAGCCACAGAACAGAGTACCATGTACACTCTGCCTTTCTCCAGTGTTCTTTTTGTGAATTCTGAAGCTTGAGTCTGTGAAAGCACCTAGGAACACTGGGGAAGGTATGAGTGTCAAAGCTGTACAAAGATCTGGCCTGAGAAGCACAGCATCTTAGTTGTAGTCAGCCAAAGCAGTTTCCTTAAAGACTATCAACAACAGCTGTGATTCCCACATTTTAAAATGGCAACTTTAAAAGGCAACTGAAGAGCCTCTGACAGTGCTACAACACAGACTTCTATTTGGTGGAAGCCCCAGAAGAAGTGAAACAAATTCAAGTGTAGCTATAGGATGTGTTTTTTGAGGTGAGCATTTTTAGGTAACAATGTATAGGCGAGGGCTACCAATTCAGCAATGCAGGCAGAGTGAACAGAAGGTAGGGTTCCTGACTCAATAACCTTTGTGGTGACAAAACAGGGCATAACAGATTTCCCTGAGGGTTTACTGACAAGCACCACCAGAGTACAAATTCCAGTTGATGAAACTGGGAAATCCTGGGTGTCTAGTACATGGAACACATAGATGATGACTAAAATCTACACAAACACAGGGTTTAACACAGAAGTTAATAGTAAAGTTATCTGACTATAAGTCTGACATTGAAAAGATACAGAATTTGGGGTTTTTAGACTGGAAAGAAAAAATGCAATTAAAACCACAAGATACTATTTCACATCCACTAGACTGACAAAAATTAACAACTTTGACAATCAGGGTTCTCCATACTCTAGGCAAAACCACCCTCCCCCTGGACTCCACATCTCCACTGGCAGGGTCAAGAGGAAGCCCTAAAGCTCCAAATGCTCAAAATAATCCACCTTTCTCCCAATCTCCATTTCTCCAATTTCAAGAGTCAAGAAAGCACTAGAGATTCAAGTATTCCTACACCAAGAGACTTCTAGTGTTCTGTCAGGCCAGCCCCTCCCCTGGTCCTCCAAACCCCTAAGGGCAAGATTCAAAATATTCCCCAAGAGAATAAGCTCAGATGAGATCACCTAGTACTTCCTCACCCATTCTGCAGCCTTATTACTAGATGAGTGAACAGGGCCTCCCGAAAATGCTCCTGGAAAGATTCTCAACCCCACCCCGCAACACTCAATTTCACTATCATTATCTGCTTGAAAGCATCAGGATCAGCCAATCAGCATACCTGTATTTGTTTATATCTATCATCATCACATGAAGCCCAGGGCTTCGTGGTTACACTACATTCCCTTGGTCTGTAATCTCCATATGGCTCTCAGAGAAGTGAGATAACATCCTCTCCTCTTGCTTTGTTTTTTTAAGTAAAACATATACTGTTTTGATATATTAAATATTTAAGCTATTTGTCTCTAGTAAAATATAAACTCCGTGACAGTAGGACCTGTTTTTCGTTTATTTATTGCTGTCAATCCCCAATAAACATTTTTTGATTGAATAAATAGCACGAATAAAGAGAATGTGAATCCTTATACCCTAATGATAGAGGAGCATAAATTAGTACAACCACTTTGGAATTAATTTGGCATTATCCAGTAAATGCTGAAGATATGCATTTCCTATAACTCAGTAATTCCACTCTTTGGCATGTGCCCTGGAGAAATCTGCACATGTGTATTTAAAAACATGAATAAAAGTATCCTTGGGAATAGTAATACTGTAATAACAAAACAACAGCCAACATGTTTGGGAACAGGATGGATAAACTCAAGTACTGCCATACAATACTGGACATACAGACATAAATGAAACTCAAGAATATTGGGTTAACAAATAAAAAGCAAGGAGAAAACATGTACAAAATTTCTTAAACACACACACACACACACACACACACACTCATACTGTTTCTATTTACATAAAATTTCAATATATTGGTTAGGGATAAATAAGCAATAAAACTAAAGAGAAAAGAAGACAAGTCCAAGGATTATTACTACCTTTAATGAGAAGGGGATGAGTTTGGGGAAGACAAACAGCATTTCAAAGATAATCGTAAATATTTTTCTTTGAGTGAAGATACAAGAACATTCATGGTATTATATATATATCCTAATAGCTTACATAATCTCTATTCAGTATTCCATAATTAAAAAGAAGAGTAGAGTGGAAATAGCAATGGGCTAGTAAGAAAGATTAACAGGCAAAACCAAACTTTCACACTGGAGGACAAGGAGAACAGCAGCAGTTACTCTGCTCAGAGGCAAAGTGAGAGGCTGATATATTGAGGAAAAGAGAGCCCTTTAGAATACAGACCTTTGTTTTCTTATAAAATTGTAAACCATCTCTTCAAAGAAATAAGGCTACTTAATGCTGGTATGGAAAAGAAAGTTTACCTTGGCATATTCCACAAAGCCGTGTATCTGTCTGTGAGCAGGGATGGTATTTTATATGGTGCCTTTGTGCAAATGAGAAAAAGGCATCCTCCTTCCAGGCAAGATGCAACCCAGAGAACTGCACTTGGCCAGATATTCAACAGTAATCCTCTGTGAGATAATAATGCTTAATAATACTAGATAACACTTACTGAGTGCCATTATCTGTTCTATGCACTTTACATGTATTAACTCATTTGATCCTTACAATAGTTCATCTGATAGTTACGGAAACACGTTGAGCAACTTGCCCCAAGTCACACAGGTCATTGTGGAGAAGTCAGTATTTGAATGTAGGTGACAGGTTCCAGAGCCTATACTCTTAGCTACTGTAAGATATTGCCTTTCTGAAGCAGTGACACTTAAGTGTTAGAAAACCCTTTCATAAGCTATTTGCAAAGCTATAGGCTACTCTTCAATTGTCTATATATACTGAGGTGGGGGTATTGGAAATCATCTCTCATAATTTTGTACTTCCACACAAAAAACATCTAGGATAGGTTTCAAGGAGTCCTGAATTCCCTGAAATTACATGTACATTTTTTTAAGTACACATGTGCATTTTTTTCTGGAAAGTACATACTTTTAGACTCCCAAAGGAATCTGATATAGTGCAAAACCATCAGGCATTAATGGGTTCTAAGGAATTTTTATTCCTAGCACTTCCCTCCGTAGATCTCATTTTGGAAGGATATCTGAACAACGGGCATTCTTGAATAATTTTTCTCATTTTTATTAACTAGATATGTAGAATACAAGAAGAAAACTAGTGTTAATAACCCTGGTTTACAAATTTTCAGTATTTTAAATTACAGATAATATTCAAAATACCAATTCATAAAGTTGGCAAGACTTAGATATTCTGGATTTGTTTTCTTTCTCAATTCCATTAGCTTAAGTCAAAAGCAGTTGATTTAAGGTAAAAATGTGATTACTATAAGGCTTATGAAATGCTGAAAATACCTTAAGAATCACCATTACTCTACTGATTATTATTTAAGTTAATGAGGAATCCACCATGTACTAGGCTCAATGCCAAGTACTATGGATACAGAGAAAAATCTTACAGGATTTCTAGATGTGTAGGGAATACAGATTAGACCCAATGCTTTAGGTAAAGGCTAAAGACTTTTGATAGATATAAAAAGATGGCCTGTAGAGATCACAGGAAATTCAGGAAGGCACAAAGAAGTTGGAATGCCTTTATTTTTCAAACAAATCTTTGAAGAAACAACAATAGTTTAAAGAGGTTTAAACAAAGTTTAAAGAGCTTCTCTTCTACACAAACACTATGCAAAAGAAAAATACAAAGGTTTTTTATATGTGAGGACTGAAGTAAATTTAAGATTCTTCCTGAAACTTTATTAGAAGAAAATTTAGATAGTGGCACTTTAACAGGAAAATAGAAATTGCAGTTCTACCTGAACTACTGAGATTTACAACTACTAAGGAGGGCTACTGAATACCCATTAAATAATTATCTTCGCTAAATATTCTATTTTATTCTTTGCTATTTCCTGAATGGATGTTAGGAAGCGAGCTCATCTCTGGCTTTGACAGACAAAAATTTCCTTGTTCTTTTTAGTAGTGGGATCATATAAGTCTCAGACTGAGTCAGATTGAAAGTGGCTTCTCCAGGCAAATATGTCTCTTACACTTCAGCCTCAGCCAACTTCTCATATGATACACAAAATCAAAAGATAGGCACATAGGAAAAATACAACTGATTTAAACCTTCTAAGTTCATATTTTAAATATCTTCTATGGAGTATTCTAAGGCTAATCAATCATCAAAACTGTCTATTTTTTGTATGAGTCAGTTTCTCTGATAAGCATACACAGGGTGAAATCGTAGAAGTTTAATATTTTGTAACTAGTTTGGAATTTAAATGACCAGAGATTAAGGAATATGCAAAAGAAGTAATAACTCTGCTTTTTAAATTCCTATAATCTATAACAATTCTTGTTAAAAATGTGTTATAAAAAATAGTCACAAAAAAGCCTTTTGCTTATTTTGTAAGGAACTACTTTTAATTTGGCAAAGTCTTGAGATGGTTGAGCAAAGACATATGGAGGACCATCTTCAGCATTATTTAGCACACACANAAATGGGCTTAAAATATGTGATAAGGACCTGCCTTGGATCATCCATTCCTCCAGGCCTTTTAATCTTTATATTTGAGACCATTTGACTCCCTCACTACAGCTTAACCTCAGTCCCTAGATTCATCCTGTCCTTCATCAGAATTAATCGTTAAGTTTTCACGAATTCAGCATCGAGTTCTAACAATTGGCTTTAAT